CAACTACTCCATGCTCTAGTACTGCTGATGCATGCCCGGTGATGATCCCGGGCAATGCAAAGCCCCAAGATCACTAACACGAGGAAGAGATGTAATGCCACAGAGGGGAAGACTGAAACTGTACAGGATGTCACCTGACCATGCAAAGAAATAACAGCGTGACTCAGATATGATCTCACACCGGCTGGGGAGAGGTCCACACATAGATGAACCTCCCCACTCAACTCATACACAGAAGAAGAAGAAGAAGAAGAAGAAGAAGAAGAAGAAGAAGAAGAAGAAGAAGAAGAAGAGAGAGATGATTGCAAGTCCAACACTCGATTGATTACACATTTCAGAAGCAGCAAACCATCAGAGAAAGACAAGAGAGAGATAGACATCGAAGAGAAGCGATAGAGAGGAGGGTGAGAAGAGTTACATTAATATATAATCTATTAATAATACAAGTATGTCAGTCTCCAACTCCAATAATACAAGTATGTCGCCCTCCAACTCCCTTGACCGCGTCGACGGCCCAGATTTTCCTGACCTCGATGACCTGGATGCACTGTTGACCCAGATAAGTCGTGTCCCAGTTGGAACTAGAATCTTCTGGAAACCTGTAGACAACCTTTGATTTGCATCCGATCTACGGCCGTGGTTGAGTAATGGGAGACTTTGACTTTGAGCCTGCTCTTCCCGTGTTGGGTCTGACCCTTGATTTTCCAAAAGTCAACTGTCTGGCATGGGGGTACTAGACACAGCTTTTGACTCGGGGCCTGGTACCCCTTGATCCTAGTCCTTTCTGAGGCTGTGGACGCGACTTTTAAGTTTTAACCCCCTGAAACTGTGGGCGTTGACCAAAAGTTACACCGCTTGCTTTTGTCTGTGCGGATTCGAACTGAGTTTATTGCACTCCTTCCGCCCCGATTTCGAATTTCATCACAGAAATTCAATTTCAGGCACGATTCTCTTTCAAGTTTCAACCCACATTCACATGCCGTCATTATATCAGGCGCATTAGGCAAGAGTTCTTTGAACTTCTTTCTTACTGAACCATCTTGCTTCCGATTCAGGTTGATTACTGAACTTCACCTTGAACTGCTTCTGCGGTCTTCCCCTCCCACCACCGGTAGAGAAAAAGGTAAGAAAGTTAAAGAAAGTTTAAGAAACCCATTTTCTAGAATCTTTTCAACTTGATACCCTCCGTCCATTGAAGGTGGAAACATAGATGGTCTGTAAGGGAAATCTTTGCCTTCAACGAAGGGAGGGTAGCAACTTAGATGCATGGAAGACGGGATATGTGTTCACATGAGGGGGCACATCAACACACTAGGATGGTCCACTTGCGTCCTGACTTACCTTCAGAACTTCCCATGGCCCGTAGTAGACAGGTGGCAGTTTCTGTAAGATTCTGATCTCTGAGTTAAGGTGGGGTACAACCGACAAAGGTTGGGGTTCCCAGGCAGTAAGGTGGGGTACAACCGACAAAGGTTGGGGTTCGCACACCAAATGTATGAGCTTGACTGACAGTTAGGAAACAATCAATTCTGAAAGGGGTTCCCAGGCAGTAATGTGGGGAAGCATCAAATGTGTGTTACATAACGTATGTTTTTCTGACTTGCCAATGGAATAGGAAGCGGACGGATGCCTTTCTGAATTGCCAATGGAATAGGAAGCAATCAATGCTGTCTGTCGGACCTTCCCACCATAAGGGGGAGGAGCGTGAGTGAGTTATCAGTGTACTCCCTTCTGACTTGCCGGCGGAATAGTAACCGGAGTGACGCTCCCCAGAATGGAAAAGGAGCCAGAACCATACGGTTCTGTTTATGAAAAAAAAAAAAAAAAAAAAGGGAGCGGACGGATGCTTTCCCAAAAAAAAAAAAAAAAAAGGAAGTGGATGGATGCTCCATAAGTGGTTATCAGGGACCCCCATTTTGTCGGTATTCCATACTGTCTATTACAGATGTCATTGCCTGTCAACCATTTTAGGAGTTACAGTCTCAGAAGGATATTCAATGCAATCAGACAGATCTGAAGTTGATAGAGAACGTTTGTTGTGGCATTGCACTTGTTAAGACTCTTAAGAATCTTGAATTCTCTTAATACTATCCATGCACATCAAACGTTCTCTATAAACTTCAGTTCTGTGTGATTGCATTGAATATTCTTCTGAGACTGTAACTCCTAAAATGGTTTACAGCTGAAATAGAAAGTATGGAATATCGTCACCCTGGACACTACGATCAAAAGACAGGAGATGGCTATCCTGGGTGGAAAAAAGGGTGTAGCAGGTGAAACACATTTGAGCAGAAATCGAAGACAATGGTCAACCGAACAGGAGCTCCGAAATGAATTAAAAGGCTGCCACACCCTCACAGAAAATTTAACACAGATTCAGAAGAGCATCCCAACACAGTGGCTCTCCCTCCTAAGGGAGGACTTCTCGTGGAAATCCGGGGACTGCAGCATACTCATTTCCCATACCCAGCCTTGCAGAGCATACCGATTCGTCTCTCGAACCAATGCACCAAGCTACCTCTCCAAATTCTTCTCCTACCCGATCTCTAATTACAACCTACAAGAATTGGACATTAGTAATTATGAACCAGAGAACCCCAGTGTGAGATAGAATCATTCCGACTAAGGAAAGTGAGGGTCCCAAAAGCCAAACCCTGGATAGTCTTCCAACCTGATCTCAGCACTTCAGACATCGAATTTGACCCGAACGAGTGGATCTGGAAACAGGGAAAATCCGGGAGAACGAGAACAATATTCAAATACGATGTAAAATTCGGATACGACTTAGGATTACAGACCACATACCCAGATCCCAGACTCAAAGAAAAATGGAGGGAAATCCTGAACCTAAACCTACGGACCCCATTTACATCCCCTGGACGAAGTACCTGTCCGTCAGTCCGGTTAGGATCCGACGCATGCAGTGACTCGTAGCCCACGCATCCCTGCCCGTCAACCAATGGCTCCACAAGAGGAGGAAACACACGGATCCCGACAGCTCCGAATTATGTGATTCGTGCACAGACAACAGACCAGAAGACATGCCCCACCGCCTCGTGTAATGCACTGAAGCAGCCTGGATATGGAACGAGGTCCGTGACCTATGGTCACTCCTCTTCTCATCACCCCCTCCCCCCACATCTCCTCAGAACATCCTTCTTTTATCCAACATTACTAACACTCTCAAAGGCGGCAACGAAATCTGGTTTCACCTTCTCAGGAAGCTGGCTCTGTGGGTGATCCGGAAAAGGAGGTGTACCAAGACTATGGAGAGAACTGAGGTGGCAAGGGAAGAAATGTGGACCCTACTGTTGGGTATGACGGAGACTGAGATTCGGTGCAGATGGAGGGAGGTGACATCAACAGCGAAAGTCAGACAAGAAAGGCTAGCTATCAAGAGACGTTCTTTCATGAGAGACTGGCTTCTACAAAGGAAAGATTACAACAGTGGCAGATGACACAGATTGATCTGGGGAAGAAATGGCACAGCGAAACTCCAGCAAGGACGACGACCCAGTGATGGGCAAATTGAGACCATAGTCTCAACAATACAGACAACTCTCCTCTTTTGTTGTTGCACACTAATTATAGGACAGAATCACAATGGATTCTGAGAGGAAAAGTGGTAGGGCAAGCTGACAGTCAATCCTCCAAAAAAGGAGCAATCAATGCTGGTCAGGGTTCCTTCGGCCAGACGGAAGGAAGCGTGAGAGTGTTCACCATGTATTCCAATTCTCGACTTGCTGGTGGACAGGAACCGGACTGACGCTCCCCAGAACGGATATGGAGCCAGGACTATAAGGACCTGTAAAAAAAAAAAANCCTGTAAAAAAAAAAAAAAAAAAAAAAAAAAAGTATGGAATATCGGTTGTTACTTGGGCATTGCAACTGCCAAGAGCTGAGGAACGTACCAGGAAAAAACTCTGGTGAAAGCTCAACCAATACAACACACTGCAGTGCGTATTAATTAAAATGCCCTGAAGGTCATCAGTAATGGGTCACCGCAGTCCGCTCACGGCAATCAGATTATCCCCTCCTTCTGAGCTGGTTTCTTGTCAGTTGGCTGCAAGAAGGATGTTGTGGAGTGTGTTACATCCTCCTGCTGAGATCCCTACCTTGGCGCTTATCATCGCCTGTTTTCTCTGTCTTCTTCAGCAACCAGCAATCCTACAAGGGGAGGATGCTCATACCACATACCCCCCTAGCAAGAGAAGCCGTTTTTCAAACATTTTTACATGATTTTGTTAAAAAAAAGAGAGTCTTGACACTAAGAAAATAATGTGAATGAAGTTCGATGGGCCCTTCACTCGATTGGTGTATGAGAACGGGTGACACACACATTGTTGGCCGCTAGGCTGCGCTCATCTGATTTTGAGTCTGTTTCGTCGACTAGATGGAAAAAAGTGAATCGTAAATTTTCTTCCCTGACAAAAGTCACAAAACAAGTGGCTTATGGAACTTCCCCTCTCCCATCACTCTCGCTTAAGTGTAGAGGTACATTCTTCGAAATTTTGTAATTTACCTTAGGCAGCAATGGTTGAGGAAATTGCGATCCACTGTGAGCGGCTGGCTGCTGCTGTTGCTTGGCCCTTGCTGCTGCTGCTGCTGCTACGGCATGGCTGGGTTTTGGTGACAGAGCTGCCAGATTGTGGCTTCCCTTGATCGGTGGCAGGGACCCAGATGCTTGGGCAACGCCGCCACCAGCAGCATCGTTGCTGTCTGGTTCTCGAACATTATTTACAGTGTCAGAAGGGCCCCTGCTCACTGGATGCACCATAGAGGGTAATACAGTTGACGCTCCCTCATCCACATTGGGTCCTGCTGCAGCTCCTCCCATCCCCCCACCAGCATCATTCTCCTTCTCTTCCTGGACTACATGCTGTATGAATCATCCATACAACAAAACAAACAACTATTCTCATTGTCATTTCCACCCCATGCAATTTTATTTTATTTTTCCTTCTCTTTTTTTCTTGTTTCTTTTGAAATAAAACAGGTCCTTACGAGCCCATGCAAATTTCTTCCTGTTTCCCATTCAAAATCATGCACAGTAACACAGACCCGTGCCACCCGACTGACTTGGCGTGGAATCAAAGAAGGGCTTGTACAATGTACATGCCATTTTGTCCTCGTTTATCGACTCTTAATTTCATATGCGCATGGCTGTTTGAACTTGATGGGTTGTTTCAACTTGTTTGTCATGGTTTCATGGAAGGTGTGGGGAGGCGTAAATACTAAATATAACATTTGATGCCAAGGATGTCTTTGCTTTTTCCTGAACATACTGTTTTGTGTTCTGAGTTTTCTGCACAAACACGTAAAAAAAGGTCCTTGTGCGCTGATCTGACTCTCAGAGGACTTACTGGCAAAAGTGTGGGCTTGGGAAAATAGACTTGTCACTTGTAAGTTGGTGAGCGAAGGCCGTGCAGACAACATCTTGGAGGAACAAAATTTCACTGTACATGGACCGAAAAGCTAGCCATGTCAAATCCAGTAGCCTTAGAGACAGTGCAGAATTTGACGTCGGTCTGCATGTGGGCAGGATTAGAAGTAGGTACTCCTTGGTACCATGGGTAGATTGCAGGCTCTGAAATGAAAGTCATGGTTTTCCATCCAACCAAAAGACAGCAGGGGAAGCGATGAGCCTAGCTCAGTTGATACACCCACAAACTGTTGAAATAGAGACCCAAGTTCAAATCCTGATGGACCAGATGTATGCAATATGACATAATTTTATTAATTTAATAATTATGAATTACCTGGGACTGGTCAACTCGATGATGATATCTCAAGGCCGACGCCTTTTTCTTTTTAATTAAGAAAAAAAGAAAAAGGGACAGCAGGGAGGGCCTAGGAGCTACCGCGTAGCTGCCCGCAGAATAGAGCGATATATGCAGAAAAACTAAACGAGCAAGCTCTCTCATTTCAATGCATCATTGTGGTCATGATGCCACTCACTTTGGAGATTCACGATTCTTGGGAGTGGAGCTGGAGCAGGAGGGGAAGCTTCTTGGGTATCATGGAACTGGCCAGCCATTGCGGATGATTTCTCTACGCCTGGGCTTAACCAGCAACCTGTTACCTTTCTATGACATTCTAGTATGATTCTACCAAAAGGACGAGAACAGAAAAGTAGAGTTCGGCACTGGGTGTCTGGGAAGAGGCTATACTCCTCAATTCCGCTGGCAATGATGGACTTTTCGACGCTAGGAGGGCCAGCAGTTGACGGGAGACATCTCATCTAAATGGAGGCTCCTATTCATTGGCTCCAGCAGAAGCTGAGTGGGAACATGCTACTGCAAGGAAACTGGGAAGAAGGATCTCAAATCACAAGCATATTCCTGCAGTGCAGTGTATATACCCTGATGATAATTAAGTCCTCCTTGGGCCTCTACGCCCTCCGATGATGAAGTGCCAGGGTTGTAACAAGAGGATCCCTGCGATAAACCTGGGGTTGTGGCCTCGACCCCCGGACCCCTGGCCCAGGGATGGTGGACCCCCGGCCAAGGTCAGCCAGTTCCACACTGCTTGAAACGCGTCGTGGGAGGGGTGGAAAAAAAATTGCTTCCCCTGCCCTCAACCAGCTCCATCACCTCCCCTTTGCCCGTCTCCCCCAGCCCCACTGCCACCCCGGGCTCGTCCCCACACATGCACCCCACCCCACCCCAGCCCCCCCCCCCCCCCCCCCCCCCCCCCCCCCCCCCCCCCCCCTCCCTCTCCCACACATCCTCTACGCGACCCCACAACCACCCTCATCCCCTCCCCAAAGGTAGCACTACAAATTAGCGCAGCAGTGCTAGAGTTAGAGGTAGTAGAGGAAGGAGGAGAGACTGGCGAGAGTGGAGGTCTGTTGTGGCACTGGGCAGAGGGCCACTCACCTGGGCGCTATAGCTTGGGGGTTGTGTGCCAGCCATAGCCGGACTTTACTCTCCCATCCGTGTGGTTCTCGATAGCATTTTCACCAGTCAGTATGTGTGTGTGTGTGTGTGTGTGTGTGTGTGAGTAAGTGAGTGAGTGTGGGTGGGTGGGTGTCTATGTGTGTGTTTGAGATATATATATCGTCACAAATAGAACTGCCCGGTAAACCGTAGGCAGAGATATATATATATATATATATATTGTCACATCACTACAAACTAAAAGAGCGCACTTTGCGGAACAAAGAATAAAAGCAAAAAACGGGCACAGTGATAA